TGATATACACTAGTTTTTATATAATTAAATTTGATATACACTAGTTTTTATATAATTAAATTTGATATACACTAGTTTTTATATAATTAAATTTGATATACACTAATTTTTATATAACTAAATTTGATATATTTAACGAACGAATTCGGTTCTTTTTTATGAATAGTTTTGTTGTGGCCCTGTTTCTATTTTTTAGTAACATTTATTTACTTATAAAAGTAATATTCCATCCACCTTTTGGAAAAGAAAAAATTATTACGACCTATTCCTTCGAGCCGGATTTGAACCAGCGACCTATGGATATCTATGTTTTGACTTCAATTCCTCTACAGTCCACCGCTCTACCAACTGAGCTATCGAAGGTGTTTTCGAATTTTGCCAAAAGACTAATTTAAACACCACGAACTTTTTTGTATCGTAAGTGTCGATTAAAATTGATAAACCTAAAAATTGAATACTTAGAAAAAAAAGAAAATATTTTGAAATATATGTTAAAATTTAAATAATGTACCCTATTCCTTTTTTGCTTAAAGGCTTATCGCAGTTTTATACCATATACATACATATAAATTAATTAATGCAAAAAAAATGTACTATAAGATTAATTTTCGGCCATATATTATATACATTCAAAAAATTTGTATTATTGCCAATCCCTTTTTTTTTGTATGTTTAAAAAATATGTTTTCTAGCTTTTAAGCTAAATTTCCTTCGAGCCGGATTTGAACCAGCGACCTATGGATATCTACATTTCATTTTTAGAACTCGTCTACAGTCCACCGCTCTACCAACTGAGCTATCGAAGGTGTTGTCGGAAATTTGTCAGAAGGCCGACACGAGTGTAGATACCGTAATTCGAAAAAGCGATGTATTTTTATCAGAGAACGTAGCAAGCAAATGTGTGTACTCTGTACTTACTGCTTTTCTCCCAAATACAAGTGGTAGACTATTTTTAGAACTCAAATTTGTTGGAGATTTTTCTTTGTAAAGCTGTTGATTCTTGTCAGAGCTATCTCTCATCTGTAGGTTCTTGTCTGTGCTAAGTAATTTTGTACACTTGAGGTTTGTGGAATTTGTGTGTTGCAAATTTTTGTTTAGTTTTGTTTTTATTTCATTTCTTATTTTATTTCTTCTAAATTATTTAAACGCCATAAGTAGTCGCAAGTCTTAAAAAGTATTGTACATGTACATACATATGTAAATGACAGGTAAACAAACACGCTCTCCAGCCCATCGAAACAGAGCAAAAATTAAATATATAATATTTTAAATCGGAACAGAAATAAAATTAATCAAAACGCTTCAATGGTGATTTGCTATCGAAGGATTTTCTTGTTACAAAATACTTATTATATGTGTGTATTATTATACTTGTATACCAAAACTAATATTTGCATATATCTTAAATTCCCTTGATTATTATTATAATTTTTAATTAATTTAAGTTTTCATTCCCAAACGAAAATAAAAAATTTTAAACTTCCCTATAACTCTAATTATTGTTAAGGGAATAATTTAAATCCTTCGAGCCGGATTTGAACCAGCGACCTATGGATATCTACAATTCACTTTCAGATCTCGTCTACAGTCCACCGCTCTACCAACTGAGCTATCGAAGGTGTTATAAATATCACGCCCAAAATAAAAAGTGAGAACTTGTTTTGCCCAAATAAGCATTTAATTTACATATATTTATTCAATTGTTCGCTCCAAAATTTAATGAACCACAGACCTAAGCGAAACGAGTGATTGCCTTTCACTTTTTCAGTTTCTATCAACAAATTTCGTTTGACTATATTTTTAAACAATCAATCGCATAAGATAATGGGAATAATGATTAAGAAAAGGTTGTTTAGTAAGTTTTGCTTACAGTAGACGCTCCATATAAGCAACAAAGAATAAAGTTTTGGTATATTGGTGTGTGTTCTTATGGAGGTTTTCGTTGCAAATTTAATAAAATGTTATGTCCACTTGTGAATTTCAAAAACCATTTTTTTTTTACATATATATTGAATTTAGATATGTTTGATAATATTCCACGAAAATGTGAAATTGATTCGGCAAATAGTTATGATGATATGAGCGTATCTGTAAGAAAATTTTTACTTAGTGTAATCGGCTCCCAAAACT